CCGCTATTTTCACCCATCCATTCCTTCAGACAGCCATGTTTCTATTTCTGTGCTGTGTAATTCAGAATTCTCTAGAAGAACAAAACTGATAGATGCATTTTACAGATGCTCTACTTACAACAAGATGCAAACATCTCATGACAGCTCCATTACAGTGGCTTCACAATTGAAAGTGTAGCTGTTCTAATACCCATAATATAGTTTATTAATGGGAATTCCAATAATCCAGTAGTTGCTGAGTCCTCTAAGCTGGATACCCCAGCTGGTCTTCAGTATATGCCGGAATCCCAATGATGTAGGCTCTAATGCCTGCAAAGAAATGGACTTTCCAGTGAGAGTGAGATCAAGCAAAGAGAGCATTACCTATGCATGCCATTGTCATTCAAAAGACTACAGACAGCAACACAATAATAATAGACTTACATGTCAACTTTGACAGTACATCCAGACACAGCATCAGTAAGGAAACAGTGGACATGAGCAACACTGCAGATCAGATGGACCAACAGACAAATGAGAACTTTCTCATTGTTGTAAAGAATGTGGATCTTTTCAAGAACAGCCATAACACTCTTTAATAAAGACATGCCATCAAAGATCACCAAAAACAATCTGAACAAGTTTAGAAAGATGGAAATCAGACCACATATCTTTTCAGACCAAAACAAAATGAAATTAGAAACTATTACTAAATGGGATTCAGAAAAGCTCACAAATATATGAGAATTAAGGCGCACACTTTTTTTTATTTAAAAAAATGTTTTTGATTCATTTTACATACCAACCACAGATCCCCCCTTCCATTCCTCCTCCTGCATTCCCCCTCCATCCTACCCCTCATAACCTTCTCCAAAAGGGTAAGTCCTTCCATGAGGGTAAAGAAAAAAGGCACACATCTTAACAACCATTACATCAATGAAGACAATGTAAGAAAAGCCAAATTGTCTCAAAGTTGAAAACACAGCTCAATGAAACCTATGACACAAAGCTGAGTATGCATCTCAGTGGTATATTCATGCTTAGGATGCTACAGAACAAGGGCTAAATATCCTGCACCAAAAGTAACATTATATTGAATAACCAGAGGAATTTCTAAAGAAATTTTGTAATAATGAGGATTTTATATAAATAGCCAACAGGAACATGGTGCTCAGCAATACCAGTACTTGGAAGACTGAGTCAGGAGGATTATAAGTTTGAGTATGACATATGCTACAAAATGAAACCCTATCTTAAGAAAAAAAAGGTGAAGAACTTCCTTAAATGTTATACTAACACAATGTTAGTATACACTTCAATGAATGAGAAGAATAAAGCAAGACCATTCATAAAATCTTACTTGTCTCAACTTAGCTGCATTTTTATAACCATCACACCTGCCCAATTCATTTCTAACTCTGTCTTTGTTTATGTCACCACTGCTCCATTTACGATGTACAGGCATTTGCTCATGTCTCCCCATACCACATCCTCAAAGCATCTCTAGGGCTGGTCAGTGACAGCCGTTGTAAGGACCCCACAGCACTGTAAGGATAGTCTGGATAGAAGGGGTAAAGGAGACACAAAAGGGAGTCTTTTAAAAAATTTAATTGAGGACATGAGACTTATTTGAATAAAATTATACAAACCTTATGGGAGGAATAAAAGGCATTAAATAAATGAAGAAATAGCTTGCTTCAACTTCAAAAACAAAATATGGGAACAATTACAATATTTGCTGAGTTAGTGTATAATGAAATTACTTGCCAACTAAAGTCCCAATACAATACTTATCAAATGAAATGTATTGCCAGAGAAATTCATCAAGAAAGACAGGCAGGTGGAAATACTACGCTTCACAGTGATTATATGAAGTCATACTGTCACATATTTGTTCCACGTTGAGGTAGTCTCCTGTTTCCATATTCACCGTGCTGCTAACACTACAGCTACATGGTGAAAAAATGTTCCATATGTATTTGTTTGAACGTGATTCTTACTGCAGGGTTTCGAAAATGTTCTAGGACCAAACTGGTAGCTTTCTGAAAATCTTAGATGATATATGAGATAGAAACTCAGACAATGACCCTCATTTTCAAGTAAAACAGATGTGTTTCTAATTTGAATAGGAGGGTAAACTTAGATCTAAAAGTCTATCTGTATATGACATCTTTTAGGGGAAAGAATATTCTACCTGAATGTCTCAGTGTGAGAAGACTTGGAGAGTGCCCTCATGACAGTGGCATTCCTTATCCAATATCTCCTTTACTTAATGTGTTGTTTGTTTGTTTTTATAACACCAATGCAGTTTCCCTCCCTCCTCTTCTACCAGTCCCTTTCCCCTACTTCCCCTCTTCCCCACATCTACTTCTCCTCCTCTGTTTCTCTTCTGAAAAGGGTGGGCTTTAGGGAGAGTTTTAAGAGGTAATCACTCTCATCTAGAAGGTTCTGGCTCAGAGAGGCATCAGATCATACTAAATCTTGACCTTAGTGACATTTGAACAGTTCATTTAGAGTTCCTTATCCCATCCATTTAAAACCAGCATACAGGGAGATATTGCTATTAATATCAATCCTTCCTTCCTTCCTTCTTTCCTTCCTTCTTCTGCACACCCTCCTCTCCATTATTTGAGACCCTAAGCCTTTAGCCATCAATCATGTAACCCAGGGGAGTCCCAGGCCCTCAGTGGCATAGGATAGCTCCTAGCTCCTGATCCAGAGTCCCTGAATGTGGAGGACAGTGACATCTACAGGTCACAGTTGGGAGGGGTAATATTTCTACAGGATCCCACTCCTTAACATCTAG